CATCCATCCACCCATCCACCCAACCCATCCATCCATCCATCCATCCAACCCATCCACCCATACATCCACCCCACTCATCCATCCACTCACCCATCCATCCACACATCCCTCCCTCCCTCCCCCGCCCCCAGGCCACACTCACTGTATTTGCTCTCGTAGTTGTAGTCGGAGCCGCCGCTGGGCGAGTTGTAGGAGTTGGAGTAGGAGTAGCCGCCGCCGCCCTGGCCGTGGCCGTAGCCCTTCTGCTTGCCCTGCCCGGGGCCGTAGCCGCCGTACTGGCCCTGCCCGTAGGGCTGCTGGCCCTGGTGGGCCGAGTACCCGGAGCCGTAGGAGGCCTTCTGGCCCCCGCCGTGCTGCTGCTTCTTGCCGCCGTGCTTGGGTGGCGCCGGCGCCGTGTACCCGTCGCCGGACTGGTAGTAGGAGCCGTAGCCCGAGGAGCCGCCGCCGCCGCCGCCCCCCGAGTTGGAGTGGCCACCGTTGCTGTAGAACTGGCCTGGACAGAGAGAGGAGTGTCAGAGGCTGGAGCACCGATCCCGATCCCGCTGCTGATCCCGATCCCACTGCTGATCCCGATCCCACTGCTGATCCCGATCCCACTGCCGATCCTGATCCCGATCCCTCTGCTGATCCCGATCCCACTGCCGATCCCGATCCCGATCCCACTGCTGATCCCGATCCCACTGCCGATCCTGATCCCACTGCCGATCCCGATCCCGATCCCACTGCCGATCCTGATCCCGATCCCTCTGCTGATCCCGATCCCACTGCCGATCCTGATCCCGATCCCACTGCTGATCCCGATCCCACTGCCGATCCTGATCCCACTGCCGATCCCGATCCCACTGCCACTCCCAGCGAGGGGCGGGACAAGGTCCCGGTGCTGCCAGTGCCACAAGCGTCTGGCCCCCCCCAGACCCTCCAGAGAGAGCCCCCGAGATCCCCATGACTCCAGCAGGACCCCCATGATTCCAGCGGGATTCCCATGATTCCCGTGGGATTCCCATGATTCCAGCAGGACGTCTGTGACTCCAGATGGACCCCCACGATTCCAGAGGGATCCTCGTGACTTCGGCAGGACCCCCGTTATTCCAGTGGGACCCTCGTGACTCCGGTTGGATCCCATGATCCCAGCAGGACCACCATGACTCCAGTGGGAGCCCTGTGATTCCAGTGAGACCCTTGTGATTCCAGCAGGACCCCTGTGATTCCAGCAGGACCACCATAATTCCAGCAGGACCCCCATGATTCCAGCAGGACCCCTGTGATTCCAGCAGGACCACCATAATTCCAACAGGACCTCCGTGATTCCAGCGGGACTCTCGTGATTTCAGCAGAACCCCTGTGATTCCAGTAGGACCCCCATGATTTCAGCAGGACCTCCGTAATTCCAGCGGTATTCCCATGATTCCAGCGGGACCCCCATGATTCCAGCAGGACCCTTGTGATTCCAGTAGGATCCTCATGATTCCAGCAGGACCCCATGATTCCAGAAGGACCCCACGATTCCAGCAGGAACCCCATGATTCCAGCAGGACCCCCATGATTCCAGCAGGACCCTCATGATTCCAGTAGGATCCTCATGATTCCAGCAGGACCCCATGATTCCAGCAGGAACCCCATGATTCCAGCAGGACCCTTGTGATTCCAGCAGGACCCCACGATTCCAGTAGGATCCTCATGATTCCAGCAGGATCCTCATGATTCCAGCAGGACCCCATGATTCCAGCAGGACCCCATGATTCCAGTAGGATCCTCATGATTCCAGCAGGATCCTCATGATTCCAGCAGGACCCCCATCCAGCCCCATCCCAGGGCCCCAGCGCGTCGCTCCCGCGCGTCTCTCGATTCTCTGCAGCGACTCCAAAGCCCAAACTCCATCCAGGCCGAGCCAGGAATGCTCCAAAACAAGGGAGAATCCCATTCCTGGGACGAAGAACGATGCCGACATCCCCGCCTGGATCTGCAGGAATCCCATCATAACAAAGACTCCATGGCTCCATGGTTTATCTTCTGGGAATTGTGGTGATTCCATCCGGGATCAGAGTTAATCCGGGGTTAATTCCACGTGTGGAGGGTTCCACAGCCAAGCTCCCGAAGTGATTCCTTCCCTGCCCGATTCCCGAACTTTGGAGAGTTCTCATTCCACAGAAAACTGGGCACGTCCCAAACTAAACTTCCTTTGGAGGAACAAAAGCCACCAGAACCCAACTGACGCCCCAGATCCGGAGAGACGGGGGAGATTTGGTCCAAAAGGAGCCAAAGAGTGAAATCCCACGGGCTTCGCTCCCGGAATTCCGCGTGAAACGACCGGGATGACCCACGGCGGATCCCGGCTCCGCCCCCACGTTCCATGGCTGGGTTGCCCCTGGAGGCACCTGGATTTCAGTGGGATCCGTTATTTCGGGCTCGTTTCCTCGACTCCCCTCCACGTCCCCTTTTCCACGGCGGGTTTTTATTCCTCTTCCGCAGCAAATCCCGATTTCCTCGCACAGAGACGAGGCTCCGGAACGACGTCGCCTCCGGGGCTGGAGCCGAACGGGAGTGGAGACCCCTGGGGCCATTCCCAGGGGGAAAACACCTGGATTTGGATCCAGCAGGAGCACTGGGGACTCCAGAGCGAGGGGGGGGGGGGATTCCCACCACACAGCTGGAAGTTGAGCTCTCCCACGTCAACGCTCCTGGATTTTCCCCTTCTATCCCAACACTCCTCACAACAACCACTTACTGTAGCCGGCGGTGGCGGAATTCCCTCCGTAGCCGTAGCTCCCGTACCCGGCCCCTGCAGCGGCAGAAAACGTGGGAATGAACAAAACAGGGATTGGGAGGAGTCAGTGGGGGGGGTCATTCCCAAATGGGGGATTTGGGGGGAATTCGGGCCCATCCAGGTTCTGTGGACACAATGCCAAAGGGGGGGATCAATCCCTCTATTCTGGGGGGCTCTGGCCCCTCCAGGTGCTGGGAACACAGTTCCAGAGGGGGATCATTCCCATTTGGGATGTCCTGGCCCCTCCAGGAGGGGGA